CTGAACACCATGTCCTCTGTCAGAGGTAGAAAGCAATAAGCAGAGAACATTTGGCATTCCTGTCCATGAAAAGACCCAAGCCAACTGTTGTGCTCATTCAGCTGCTGCAGAAATCAGCTACAGATAGCTTTAGGAGGAAAGTGGGAAAAGGCATGAAACTTGATTAAAGTGAATTTTTACTTCCATTACTGTGAAAAAGGGGCAAGAGGAATCTGACTGTTGTCTCTTTGAACGTAATTGTTATTGCAGACAGGGCTGTGCAGTTACAGGTATAGTAATTCAATGCTCTCAAATTGTATTTTGAAGGTCAAAAGTTTCTTAAATTGTCACGTTTTTGATTGTGACTTATAGCAGCAGAGTTCAGAAGTTCTCCTCAAATCAGGAGAAGCTGCCAAATGCAACCACGCTTCAATAGGTACAAAGTACCCTTTGGAAGAATCCATCAAATTATAATCACCTCTCAATACTGCATAAGTAGCAGCTTTTCTGGGTGAGGTGGCCAGTTCTCACCTACTCCTTCAAAAATCTACATACTGGATCAGACATTTTTGTGATTCTTGGTTTTTGTTTCTGCTTTTCTCTCCTCTTTCTCCAACAAGTCATATTCCCGATGTTCCTTCATAGTTCATTGCAAGGTTTTGTTCATTCACATAGGGTTTATGTTGGCTTCCATGAAATCAGTATGTGCTTATACAAGTAGGTAGCAAGATCACCTTAGCCTCTCTTTGCAAATCATAGCTTATTAGCAGGATTGTCACTATGAAATCCAATATTTCGTGTGGTGGAGAATGACTTCTTAAAAGTTTAGCACTTAAGGCATAAATGCCATGTTTGTACATGAGCCAGCTCAATGGATGATTCTTTTTGGACATTTCTGCCATCAAACCATTATATTTTCCACCATCAACAAAAAATCAAGTTCAGTCAAAGCCTAAAAGAGTAACGCTTTCATTTAACATAGCACAGTAATGGTTTCTTACAAAATACAACTAATTAGGCACAAAATTCTAGGAAAAATAAGGAAAAAAATTAATATAGGCAGCCATTTTATCACTTTGATGAGCCTTATCTTAAATTTGGGGGGTGTTTGATGCTCAAAACTTTCAAAACTCAGCTTGCATTCTGACAAGAATAAACAATGCTTAAACACAGTCAACAAGGCTACTTGCGCATATGCTGATGGACTTTTCCAAATCCTCTTACTACTCAAAGAAGCCAGTGATGTGGGAGTCCTTAGCTTACGCTTTTCGTGGTGCTCAGCAGCTGATGCTTCATGGTAGACCAGGCAGTGGTTGCTACTCAAAACCAGTGATCCTGCCTTTAATTTTGTGCTTTCTACCTCTCACCTACAGAAAACCTGCAAACCTCCACACACAGATGCACAGCTGTAAGAGTCAAACCCGGTTTCAGAGCTCTTCCACTTCCAAGTAAGCCTCCCAAATTACCACATGATACACTCCTAGTGTAGGCAAAGGAAACTCAAAAGTGTTTAATCACTCCTTAGGATGTCTAGGTCTGCATATTTTACTGCATTCCTATGTGCTTTTCTTCCTCCAGGAACTGCAGGAGAACTGATGACATAAAGGGAGAGTGGAGGAAATGACCACCACTTCCATTCTCTTAGTCCATTTGTAAGATGAACCATCAGGAAAACAACACTTGAAATTCAATATATATAATATACATTTCCAGAATTTTCTGAAATGTGCCCTGGTTTTAATTAAAATGTGAAGTGTACTCACTGAAGGACTTGTTTCTCTGCCAGGAGCAACTTTCCCACCATAGACATCAAATGCCAACTGAAAAAAAATACTTCGTTTTTTTCTTGGATTGAAAATTCTCCAACTCTATTACATTTGGAAACACAGCATAGTAGCAGAGGGCAACATTATGTCTGACATATATAATTAGTTTACAAAAAAGTATAACCAGGGGGCACATTTTTGATAGAATCACTTTTTCACACAATAGTTGCAGAATAATGGATCACACTGATCCTTTTTCTAAATGATATGACAAAGTAAATGAGCATTTGTATAAAAATGCCATAACAGTTGAAGCTTGAATGAGAGAGTTTGCAACCTTTGTTTGTGCTCATAAATTACCCCGTAGATGAAAATGTAACATTAATAAAACCCAAAAGGCATCCAAAGCCAAGAGATACAACCCATCAAATACTGAAATGCATTATATTGTGTACCTCATGTTAATCAGTCGAGATCCTAAAGTACAAATTGCCTCCAGCAGTTTCTAAAGTTATATCACAGGTTAAATGGACACCCACAGACAGAGATTAGTCATTTAAAAGACAAAGGTATAAGAACTGATTTCAACTACTAAAGCTGTCTTACAAATCATTTTTTCTTGCAGTTTTGCAGCTATGCCTTTTTTCCCCCGTTTCCTCGTGAGGGGCAAGCTACTGCATCTGGCAGCATATAAGGACTTTTCCAGTTAATACTTTAGGGGAAAATGTGCAAAAAGGTGTTACCTTTTTTCAGATCCAATAAATTCACTTGTCACTTCCAACAGCCGCGCATTAGTAAGTTATTAAAGATATCTGAATTTCAATCACTTATCCTCTCTCAAACACTAAAATATGGGGTATGTCATCCTCAGATGTAGAATTAGCACAAAATGCCATGAGCACCTGAGAGATATCCTGTGTGGCACGAGCCCTTTTTGTCTGTAACCTCAGCTCAAGAGGACTCTCGGTATTGAAAAGTCAGATACTACAGGTAGTGAGTGCCTGCTGCCTGAGTGTATTCTGATAGCCCTTTCATTTGCTGCCTGGATGAAAAACCAGGTAATTTGGAGCTCACAGAGGGGAAGGAAGGAGGGAGGAGGAGGTAATAGGTAAGAAAACTTGCTTATTTTCAGGTTTCACTGAAGTCTGTAAGAGCTGTAGAGTTCTGGGAAAAATAAAAAACCCCACACCATCAGAGGCTTGAGTAATCTCTTCCTAAGAAAGCAAGATTTCTGACTTACCTAAAAGTCTATTTTATCTATTGTATTAATATTTCACAGTGACTTGGAGCTTATTTGCCTGGACACTCCAGGTGCTTCACTCTCCACAATCAGAAAGAAGAAACTTTCAGATATTTATGACAGGTTTGGTGGAAATCTTCTCTTGGCAGAAATCACACCAAAGAGAGAGGGGGGGGAATGGCAACTCTGGAGAGGCAGAGGTACCAAGAGCAGTGTACTTACAGAGCCTTTAAACAACTTGATGCAATTGTCGCATTTTTTTGAGTGTTCAGAAAGTAATATTCAGTGGAGTTACTAATGTTTTGAGCAGTGCTGCTGACCAGTCACTTAACCCTTCACGTCCTACCTGCAGGGAAAACAACCCCCCTACTTCTATATTCCTGTTTCATGCAACACTGCAAGAGGTGAAGTGTGCAGTGTCAGCACACAAGCACTTTGTATGATCATGAGCAAAGAATTTTTCTTTTTTAACCCCTAAGCAAAATACTTGTCTCTTGGGTCAACAGACCTTAATAGTTAGGAGACTGGAAATAACAAACAAATACATACTTTTATACCGTTTTCAACACTAACAAGACAAATGGTGGATGAGCATAAGTTTTTCAAAGATTAATTCAGAGATGTAATCACAGCAAGCAGCAGTTCAGAGCAGAAGCATATGCCAGGCGCTTTGAAGAGCACGTGGGGTTCTGTCACTGCTTTGGCTACTGAGAGCAGTTTCCAAGTCCCTAAATTATGTGCCCAACAGTCAATGTTGCAAATATCTCCTCCTTTTTTTTTTTTTTTTTTCCCTTTCCCCTGCATTCTTCACAGTCCTCTGTGGATCAAAAGCTCAAATTACAAGTCCTGTGCTTGGACAATATCAGGTTGGGGTGTGTGCCAGTGCAGGTGCATATACACATGCACTTGTGGGCAGGCAGCTCAATACATGATTTCTTTCCTGAGAAGTCAAAAAAAAAATCAGTGAAGAGCAACAAAGTCTACACTGAGCTGAGTTTTTCCTGAGTCAGACTTGGCAGCTTAGCTCATATTTTACAGCAAAGTTCTGGTCAGTAATTTTTACCAATCATGCATACTCATTTTTTCTTGTTTTATGAGAATAAGACAGTCTTTTTTCCATGCATACACTGATTTTTTTTGTCAGTGATGTCTCAGTGAGATATTTTTCATCAGATAAATATCTGCTGTATCCATACTCCAATAAGAAGAATAGTAGAGATAATATAATTTCATGTCTGTGAAATCATAATATCTAACAAAGCAAAGACATATGATCTGAAGTTGGTTTTCATAATGTGCAGAAAGCCTGGGGTTGCCCAGTCTCATAAAGCATCCAACTAACACAGTAACTGTATAAAATTAACAACCTTGCAAACAAGAGCTCTCTGGATTATGAAGCTGTACAAATTGAGTGAACTGTATAAATCACAGCATGCTTCTAGCACTGAAAAGGAAACTAAATATTTACAGAGCTAAGAAATACCACTTGATTTGGTTTGGGCGACCTTCTCTTGCAGAATCCTCAAGTTGAATTAGGATGAAAACAAAAGACAGTTCACTTGTTAATACCATAAGGTAAAGAGATTCAAAGCCCGCTTGGAATTTCAGATGTGAATGCCAGCATACAAAATCAATCGGAGTGTGGAATTGAATGTGTGTAGCATTCACACATCTTTGCTGTATTAGACAGCATCGGCAACAATTAAACCAAGGAAAAGCAAACTCAAGGAGATGGTGCCACAGAAAATCCCATCTACGTTCAGGTTGATAAAACAAATGAACATATTTGCAAGGCTGGTATGAACTAGGAAGGTTTTCATTCCTCAGTCCAACTTCAGGCAAAAGCAGAAACAGAGCCCTCCTCTGCTCCAAACCGTATTTCAAGTTCCCCGGCAGCACAAGATAGAGCTAATTAACGAAAACCAAAGGATGACGAAATGAAGCCAGATAAGCCATAAATATCTACATATATAAGCACACAGCAAGCAAGATAATGAAAAGTTAGCTTGATTTACCGTTTTAATTGTCCAAGTGGGTGGTTTGTTTGGGTCTGGTTTTTTTTTTTGGTGGTGTTTTTTTTGTGTGTGTGTGTGGGGAAACGTCGGGAGCTGCTTTCACGAGGACTCCTCCGTACGCATCCACACCGCTGCGGGTGCCGGCTCCGCGAAGCGTTTCCCTCCGCAGCCGCCCAAAACAAGGCAAGAAAACACGGCGAAGGGGCGGGGAGGCGGCAGCCGGGTGGGCAAACTCCGGCGCCTCCCCGAGCGCTGCCCTGCCCGGCCCTGCCCGGCCCTGCCCGGCGGAGCAGCCCCGCCGCTCCTCCGCCGCCCCGCAACTTGCGGGAGCCGCCGGGGCTGGGCTGGGCTGGGCTGGGCTGGGCGGGGCGGGGGCGGGCACCGGGATGATGCCCGGGATGATGCCCGGCCGTGCTCCGCCCGCGCTGCCCGCGGCTCCCGGGAGATGCCCGGGGATGCGCCGACCTGCCGCTCCGGCGCGATGTGCCCTGCGGGGGCTGCCCCGCGCTTGTGCCGCCTCCCCGGCTCCGCCGAGCCGGACGAGGGCGGGGAGGAGCCCTGCGAGAGTCCTCCGGGGTGGGGAGAGCCCTGGTTTTTCCTAAATTGGATGGAAAGGCTGCTGCTGCCTTTAGACGTTGTCTTCTCAGTCTCTGCCTGACGGGGGGGTGGGTGAAGGGGAGGGTCTGTTTCAAGCACCCGGTTTATATGGGATTTTGGAGCTTCACAAGTGTGCGCTAGTTAGCGGGTGAACCTGTCAGCCTCCTCCAAAATGTAACGACCGGGCTGTGAGGGAGAGGTGCCAGGGCGCGCGTAAAGTGGTGCAGAGGTGGGAAAGCGTGTGCTCCGTTCTGCAGAGGAAAAGCCCAGCTGTCAGAGGCATGCGTTTGGACCAGCAGAATCTGAAGTGAGTGATACTGAGGAGCTTCCACACGCTTGGGAGGTACCTGACCTGTTGTCCCTGAGGTTCTTCAGAACCCAACAGTTGCAGACCTACTCAGTGCCTTCTTCCTCCCTCTTCTCGACATTAAACCCTGGGCTTCCACACTCATCAGGTCTCAATGGTTTCCTCTAGCCCGTCATCTGAGAGGGCTGAGTACCACCCAGACAAACTATCTGCAAGCAATGTTTTGAGCTCCTCTATTTATACAAGCAATTGTTTTTGAAGCAAACCAAAACGTGTTTCAGTAAGACAAGCTCCTAGGTACCATTGCAAACTTTTATTCCCCAAAAGCTTGAAAGAGCTGAAAGTACTAGAGGGTAATTTATAACACTGTTTTTTAAAAAGGGCAAAGCAAAGCCTTGGTAGATAGAAGGTCCAGCAACTCCCTGCAGCACGCAGCCATGTTGTAGCCTCATCAGTCTAATTAGATGCAGTATCCCTGGGTCATTTGGTGCCTGCCAGGTTTTGAAGTGGCTGCTTAGGATTTGTCTTCTGCAGGGTTTTTAAGTTTCAGTTTTATATGAGCTGAACAATCTTATTTCTTTTGCAGGTTTTGCCACGGGTGAACGCAGTCTCCTCCCTCAGCTACCAATTACATACATCTCCTGCTATTGTTTGAATTAATGGGTTACGCCACAAGTGACCTTAGAAATAGCAGAAATAATAGCAAAGCAGTTCTAATCTGTCCATTGCTCCTGACCAGTAAGAATCAACTGTTTAAGACTAACCTGTGTTTGCAGTGTAGTCTGCACCTGGCTTTAGACTGATGCCATTACACTCAAACAGGAATGTGAAAGTGCCTCCCCAGAACTGACAATTTAGTATGTTATTCTTCTGCAGTGCCTATAAACCTTTGAAAATATTTTCTCCTAGGTGACACTGCTTGAGTGACGCTGATGGTGGCAGAAACTATCTAGTAATTTGCAACACAAGGGGCAAGGGCACAGGATGTCACAGTGTAAGTGAGTAGTCTCATCTCCGTCTTCAAATATCTCCTTAGGATGTCTTGCTTCCTGTGGTGTTTGCTTTGGGTTTGATCATTACTATTTTGTTTTTGTTTTAGTTTCAAACTGTGGCTCATCCTCTTAGCCTGTGCCCTACTCAGTGCAGTGTCATCTTGTTCAGCTGGTGTTCCTCACAGAAATACATTTGATGGTTGCAAGAAGGGGATTTTCTGTTTTGATTATAGCAGGTAGCAATTTAAAGCTTATTTTTCAGAGTAATTTTTTTTG